GGTAAAAATTAATAGGTTTGTGTGATGAAATGTAAATTAACTCACAATCTAAGTAGTTATCTGATAAAAGAAACTATAAGGTTAGAATCGGACAACATTGAAAGAGACAAAAAAAGAGACTTACACTATAAGTTGAAGAAAACCAGAGATTTATGTTATTAAACTTGTGCACAACATGCTGCCCGCCAGCACCAGCTTTGCGGCCCACGAAGAAACGAAATATTCTTTATTCTTATTATTTTCTTAATAGCTTTCCTGCTTGTCCTATTTTCTTTTGGCACACACAAATTTTCATAAACTCGAAGGCCCGCCTTACATTTTAAGTTGTGCATTCCTGCTTAAGGAGAATGTACACCCCACTGGCTGAATGTTTTAATTATAATCGAATTATTGCATTAAGTTTGGGGATTGGTTTGGGGATTGGTTTGGGGATTCGTTTGGGGATTGGTTTGGGGATTCGTTTGGGGATTGGTTTGGGGATGTTTTGAGAATTGGTTTGGGGATTTGTTTGATGATTGGTGTGGGGATTAGTTTGGGGATTTGTTTGGGGATTAGTTTGCGGATTGGATTGGGGATTGGTTTGGGGATTGTCTTTGGTATTTGATTGGGAATCTAAACTGGCTGTATATTTTAATTATAATCAAATTATTGCATTAAGTTTGGGGATTGGTTTGGGGAGTGGCTTGGAGATTCGTTTGCGGATTGGTTTGGGGATTCGTTTGGGGATTGGTTTGGGGATGTTTTGAGAATTGGTTTGGGGATTTGTTTGATGATTGGTTTGGGGATTAGTTTGGGGATTTGTTTGGGGATTAGTTTGCGGATTGGTTTGGGGATTGGTTTGGGGATTGTCTTTGGTATTTGTTTGGGAATCTATTTTGGGAATTGGTTTTGGGATTGGTTTGTGGAGCGGCTTGGGAATAGGATTGGGGACTGGTTTGTGGATTGGTTTGGGGATTGGTTTGGGGATTGGTTTGGGGATTGGTTTGGGGATTTGTTTGGGGACTGGTTTGGGATTTGGTTTGGGGATTTGTTTGGGAATCTGTTTTGGGAATTGGTTTGTGGATTAGTTTGTGGAGTGATTTTGGAATAGGTTTGATGACTGTTTTGGGGATTGGTTTGAGGATTGGTTTGGGAGTTGGTTTGGCAATTTGTTTGGGAATTGGTTTGGGGATCTGTTTTACAAATTGGTTTGGGAGTTGGTTTGAGAATTGTTTTGGGGATTAGTTTGGGGATTGTTTTGAGTATTGGTTTGGGAATCTGTTTTGGGAATTGTTTTGGGAATTGTTTTGGGAATTGGTTTGTGGAGTGGTTTGGGAATTGGTTTGGGGATTGGTTTGAGGATTGGTTTGGGGATTGGTTTGGGGATTGGTTTGGGGATTGGTTTGGTGATAGGTTTGGGGACTGGTTTGATGACTGGTTTGAGGATTTGTTTGGGGATTGGTTTGGTAATTGGTTTTCGATCTGTTTGGGAATTGACTTGAGTATTGGTTTGGGGATTGATTTGGGGATCTGTTTGGAGATTGTTTTGGGGATTGGTTTGAGAATAGGTACGGGGATTGGTTTGGGAATGGCTTTGGTGATTGGTTTGGGGATTGGTTTGGGGATTAGTTTGGGAATTAGTTTGGGGATTGGTTTGTGAGTTGGTCTGGGAATTGGTTTGGGGATTGGTGTGGGGATTGGTTTTGGAATTGGTTTGGGAGTTGTTTTTGGAATTGGTTTGGGTATTGTTTTGGGGATTGGTTTGGGAATTGGTTTGGGAGTCTGTTTGGGAGTTGGTTTGGGGATCTGTTTTGCAAATTGGTTTGGGAGTAGGTTTGGGAATTGGTTTGGGGATCGGTTTGGGAATTGTTTTGGGGATTGGTTTGGGGTTTGGTTTAAGGATTTGGTTTTGGCGATATGTCATTGAACGTTTACAGGTAACACTTGATTCGACACGGGCTAGTCTGAAATTTTAAGCCACCAGCAGTGAAGTGTAGCAACTTTTTTTTCATATTGTAGGATACCGCAATGTGATTGATGAGGTCACCGAGCCTCCACTTCATGTCACGTATACACATATCTGGTTCAGACGTCCGCTTCAGCACTTTATGAATAGTATTTCTTGTTACCGTAATGCCAACAACTTTTACGGAGTCGTTTTCTTTAAAACTGTTGGTGTTCTATGTTTATTATTTTTTTATGCTTGTAATTTAACTGGATAAATATTTAAATTTTTAAATTTATTTTGAAAGTTTTGTTTAATGTGTATTTCAATAATGTATACCAGGCCTGCATAAGTATGCCGGGTGCCCGGCGTACACCGAACGGTCATGGGTGACTGGGGCCCGCGAAATAACGAAATATTCTTTATTCTTGTTATTTTCTTAATAGCTTCCCCCCCCCCCCTTCCTATTTTCTTTTAGCCTGCACAAGCTTCTCCATAAAGTGTCCGGCCCACCTTACATTTTGAGTTGTGCTGGTCTGCTGTATACCGTCAGCTTTTTTGACCAACTTAAAAAAATCATTTATTAATTAAGTAGTTTAGAGATATAATTCCTCATTCATTAGTCTTAAAGATGAATAATTCTTGTCATGCTTATTTGAAGTTTGTGGTCCCAAACCTAAAACTCAAGTGTTCTTCCTCTAAAATATACAAATAGTTCACACAAATTATTACTTGGAAGTGCCTCGAATCATATTATTATTGGGTTTGTGCTTTTCTGAAATCCAAATGCCACAAACGTTTCTGTTCTCATTTGATTATAATAAAAGATATGTATTCACATATATGGAACAGATAAAAATATTTGCCCTCACATTCGAGGTATTTAATAACCTCTACAGTACGGATTAGTAGATCTCTTCGGTGGCTCTCGTTATTTAGTCTTAAGTGCATTAAGTCATGATCAAGCAAAGAACCACACCTGCCTTAACTCTCTTTAACAAATCAGAATGCAACACGCACACACAGTTTAAGCCAGCTCGTCTGAGGCAGTGGCTGACATGCGGTACTTTGACGTTGCAAGGAAAAATGGATGTTTACAGGATACAGTACCGGATCAATGGAGAGCTTATCGCTGAAGGCGGGCATAGATGGTCATTTGGATAATCTATTTAGTGATCGTTGATACAAGACATTCACTATTATTGCAGTCATTTTCTGCCTTATAATCTGTGGTTTTAGAATCGATTAAAAAAATTGAATAAAAACATTCACATTTTAATAATTAAATATGAGAGCACTCAAATTGGAAGAATTTTATGATACCAGAAAAAATGAACGAAAAGTGCTTGATGTATTTATGAGTCTGCAAGTCATTTTCCGGCTTCAGCTCAGTTCCTAGATTTTACTGATTGGTCCGGGCACCTACATTGTGGGCGCCAAAATCTACGATACATTTTACAACAATATTAAATCTTGAAGAACACTTAAAACTATCCTAAATCTAGAATAACCCTGAAGCTAGATAGTGACCGAATGTGATTTTTCGATTTTGGCCGAAACAGAAATGAGACCGAAATTTAAAAATGACTTTTGGCCGAAACCGAAGCCGATAAAAAAGTTATGTATATAAATTGCGACCTTGCTGGGAACTGGAGAGCATCTGTTTCATTTAATGTCCTGAATCTTAAGTAAATGTTTCTGGAGACACTTTATCTATGTCTGAGATTTTATAGGTCTTTTTGTCACATATATATATACACACCAATGAAACAATGAAGGTGTGGGCAACGACCAGCCTTTGGCATGGGCGCAGCTTAGTGCCTTCACATGGCCATTGATGACAATTGACGGACCATTTTCTTACAAGTAACCGACCACTGACGACAAAAGCTGACCCTTAACAAAAAAAAACAACTTAACATGAATACATAAATATTTTTGTATCGTAAAGCACCCTTTACCCGGAAACATTGAAAAATTACGCTTTATCCAGGAGAGATCACCACAGGATAGCGGAGACCCACCTGATGTACGTCTGACCCTGTCACACACGGCGGTTAATAAGTCGAGCCCCCAAAATGAGCAAAAGGGGGCCGCACTAGAGACGATTAAGGCTTATAGTGACGAAATGACATCAGTCCTCACAGACGGCTCTTATAGCCCTTGCGAAAAGTGGGCTGGCTACGGCGCGATCATACAGTACCCGAAGGGGGTACCTCCAACAGAGGAGATCTCAGGCCCAAGCGGCAAGAACAGTTCTGCAGTTGAAGCAGAAGTTGAACCTATTCTTATTGGTCTGAGACAAGCGCGCCGTCGGCTAGCATTTCCATCCGTCGTAGTGTTCACCGATTCACAATGTGCTCTTGAAATTGTGAAGAGGTGTTCTTGGGACACTAAGACGGTGCAGGCAATCATGGAACTCGTGCGAGACATACGATCTAACGGAGGGAACGTTACCCTTCAATGGATCCCAGGACACGCGGGGATCCCCCCACAAGTCAGAGCTGACTGGCTTGCAAAACAAGGTTCTTCCCAACCCCAACCTGACAGGCCAATGACCCAATTGGGGGTCAAAGCCTGGTTAAAGGACCTCTTTCAGGACGAATGGAGGAAAGAATGGGAAAAGGATACCACTGCACGAAAGCTTTACCGGAACATGCCTAAAACTAACCGAAAGGGCGATCAATGGTGGAGCCTTAAGCGACACCAGCGGAGCCTCATAACACAAATGAGGACAGAGCACTGTCTCACGAGCTGCCGCCATTGTGGACAGGCAACCACGCCGAGAGCCTGTTATACGGGTCTGCCCAGCAGATGAGGCAGGCCTGTTCCATACTTGCCGGGGCCATTAAAGAGCAATAGCTCGGCCCCATACAGTGAATGAAATATTTCAGTATCGTATTTAACTGAGCGTCCAAGAAAAATTACGGGTTCAATTTATTGACGTTTGGCTTTGTACAATTCTACATTATTGATATTATTGGGACGTCACCGCACTGAACGAAATAACAGCACGGAAAACTCAATTCAAAGAATTTGACTCAGAACATAAAAACAAGAAATAATTGTTTCGTTAAAAAAGTTATTTATTTCAAATAGAATTTCAAATAGAAAGATACATAGTATACATCCTTTTATCCTTGCTAAGGGACTTTATAATACTTTTTTTCAGGAAATACTTTTTTCCTCAAGTGCAAAACTCAATGATTAAGGATATACTCGTGCAATATACATATATTTATTTGTTTCTGTCTGTTGTACGTAATATCACGTGAATTTAATTTTTTTAAATTCAACAATGCCATCCGTACGGATTATATTAAGGGAAAAAAAAATAGATTACGGATAAATAAAAATAAAACCCAGGTGGCATATTTTTACAATGTACATTCGGAATGGATAGAAATAAGATGCAACTTAAAGTTTCACTTATTGAAAGTAGCGTTTGATTTCAATTCAAACACATTTTAGCACACCATGGTGGTCTTTTGAAAAAAACAACCACGAAACTAAAGAAATCAGCAGGGGCTGTTAGTCCTTTATCGTTTATGATTCAATTTATTATTTATTTATTTAAAAATATGTGGCCTTTTTTTTTTTAAGAAATAAAATTCAACTTAAAGTTTCACTTATTGAAAGTAGCGTTTGATTTAAATTCAAAAAAATTTTAGCACACCATGGTGGTTTTTTAAAAAAAACAACCACGAAACTAAAGAAATCAGCAGGGGCTGTTAGTCCTTTATCGTTTATGATTCAATTTATTATTTATTTATTTAAAAATATGTGGCCTTTTTTTTTTTTCATTTCCAAATATTGCTTTGCATAAATAAGAGATGGATTGTTTTCGGGTAAATTTAAATAACTTGAAAAGATTTCAATGTAAACCCATGAATCAAATCTATAGAACATTTGGAACTGAAACCTACAGGGGGTTTATTGAATCACTGAAACACATTTTACAATCTAGATCTGTATCTGACCTTATTAAATTTCACATAACCCGAATTAGGCACCCACACGTTTTAAAGTTTCCTCGTTACAAATGGAACGTGTATTAGTGCCCCCTCCCCCCCACCCTCCACACACTTTTTTTTTCCCTTTTCAACAATGTTTTTTTTTTTACCCTGCATTTATTTATCGTCCAACTAGATCTCATTTTTGTCTAAACATGAATCTCAATGTATACAAAAAAATGGCGAACCAAAGCTTGGAATATACAACCCTGTAATAGACTGCAACCTGTCTTAGCACAAGTTAAAAGCGCGCATCGATGTATAACTACTCCTATAGCGTCAGTATAAAAAAAAACTTTGCAGTTTGTTCCTAGTGGGAAATTGTTAGGGGAAGTTGAACTCTTCAAACTTCCCCGAAAGCCAGCATTATCACAGATTTCAGAGCAGATCTACTCCATAGTTTAGTCACGTGAGTGTTCTAGCACAACCACTCGACGCCGTCAAACTGAATTTTTGATCACGTTTTATTTTCTCTATAGCTTTAGTAACTTACAAATGTTAACGGATGAAAACCAAAATCTATGATTTATGACGCATGTTGAATATAAAGAGGATGCACTTGGTTAAAATTTGATTACGTTAAATTGATGTGCGTGAAAATTCTCTAATCGCATGACTGCATCACAATTTCAAGGAATTACACATGCGTTATGATCACGATTGTCATGTTGTTGTGTTCGGTGTGAACAATGTTTGTTCATCCAGTAGAACTCAAAGAATGTAGTGTGTCGTTGACACGCCTGTGGAAACACAACACCTTTACACCGACTGAACGCACAGCTTAAATGGAAGTGGCGCTTTTGTCAAGCCCATCACACCGACCAAAGACGGCAGCACTTCTTTGCCTTCCACCACAGGGGCACTGAAGTGGAACTTTGAGAGAAGCCCAACAGCCAAGCCGAGCAATTCTTTCTTGGCAATACTAACTCCTGGGCACATTCTTTTACCTGGGGGGATACAAATATAATAGCTGACGTGACAATTAAATGACAAAAATTATCATTTAGGATTTATCTACAGCTGTATGGGAAATGGGAAATTGATATATTGATGTATTCTATAATAATAGCTTAGGGCAACTAGCCTACTTTTATTTCTGATTGAGTGGAGGTGACTTATATTTTACAACAATGTCTTCAACTTGCCACTATCTATATTCTATCATTATACAGCAGTTTGAATGATAAATTTCTATCTACTATCGACCACCACATAGCGTTTGAAATCCTAGTTAAACATTTAAAAAATAAAAAGAATGGAATGTTTTTTTTTTTTTTTAAATTTAGGACATTTTTATTTGTCGTAAGGCCCGTGTCAATGGAAATCTGCGACCAGGACAATGCCCAAAGATGGCGCCTCTTTTTATCAATAAATGGTATGTTTACTGTCAAGTTATATAAAAATATATATATAATGTGTTTGGATTATGTTACATAATCAGAATGCAAATTTATATACAAATTAGTTATTCTAAAATGTTTTTGAATCTTTTAAGTATGCTAAAGTCATCATCATGCAACATTAAATGTGCTGTTTTGAAGAGTTGCAAGACTATATAATGACCAACCTGTTGAATACGGCAAGAACCATTTAGGATAAAATGGCCTCCCGTCTTCTGTAAGAAATCGTTCTGGTCTGAACTCTGTTGGATCGTCTCCCACTTCCGGTCCCATCATCAGAGAGTCCATGTTGGTCATGATTGCCGTGTTCTTCGGGATGAAGTACCCGTTGATGTGTGTGTCCTTGTCAGACGTGTGGCAGGGGGGCATGGGGACTTTAGAAAATATCAAGATATGCATTTAATATAACATGGCATATACAACTATTTAAAATTGATTAAGTAAGTTACTAAACACTCCTTTCCACCACACTGCAAAACACTCAATATTCTCTTCAACCATCCTTTTATTATGTAGCCATTTTTTCATAAGTTTATCTAAAATCCTAATTATCCTTATACTCTAAAAATCCCATCATTCAGCAAATAATTCACGTGTAACCTTTGAAATACATTTCATTTAAATGACACAGTGTTGTTTGTTTGCACCAAGTTACCTATGTTTGCGTGCCTCTGTACTTCCATGATGGTGGCCCGGGTGTAGGCCAGCTGTGATATGCCTGACGCATCGAGACTGTCATTCGCCAAAAACTTGTGAATCTCCTGTCTGCATCGCTTCTGGACGTCCTGGTGGTGGGTCATGTAGATCAAGAACCACTCCAAAGTCGGGGTGATGGTGTCGAAGCTTCCAAGCATTATTTCTGAGATCGTTTTCGGAAGATGCTCATCTGTGGAGCGATAGAATTTAAGGGATGATGTTTCAAGAAAGAATAATTTCTATTTTTGTCAAACATTAAAAATAATAAGATTTTATTTTATTTAAAAAAAATTAAAACAATAATTATTATTAGACAATATCAATTTTTTATATAAGTGAAATTAACAATTATTTATATCACTCAAATACATACAAAATTAAAATAAAGATGACCACATTAATACAAAAGTAATTTTCTCAATTCTGATACACACCTGACAGTACTGTGGAGATATCCTTCCGCCTTTTGTCATTCATCTCTTCAATGTAAGCTCCAGCGAAACACAAAGTGGAAGGAGATCCATTGCTGCTCGAGTTGTTGTTTGATGCCTGGGGTGTCTGGTCTTTTGCGAATGATTGCCGTGTTCTTCGGGATGAAGTACCCGTTGATGTGTGTGTCCTTGTCAGACGTGTGGCAGGGGGGCATGGGGACTTTAGAAAATATCAAGATATGCATTTAATATAACATGGCATATACAAGTATTTAAAATTTGATTAAGTAAGTTACTAAACACTCCTTTCCACCACACTGCAAAACACTCAATATTCTCTTCAACCATCCTTTTATTATGTAGCCATTTTTTCATAAGTTTATGTAAAATCCTAATTATCCGTATACTCTAAAAATCCCATCATACAGCAAATAATTCACATGTAACCTTTGAAACACATTTCATTTAAATGACACAATGTTGATTGTTTGCACCAAGTTACCTATGTTTGCGTGCCTCTGTACTTCCATGATGGTGGCCCGTGTGTAGGCCAGCTGTGATATGCCTGACGCATCGAGACTGTCATTCGCCAAAAACTTGTGAATCTCCTGTCTGCATCGCTTCTGGACGTCCTGGTGGTGGGTCATGTAGATTAAGAACCACTCCAAAGTCGGGGTGATGGTGTCAAAGCTTCCAAGCATTATTTCTGAGATCGTTTTCGGAAGATGCTCATCTGTGGAGCGATAGAATTTAAGGGATGATGTTTCAAGAAAGAATCATTTCTATTTTTGTCAAACTTTAAAAATAATAAGAATTTATTTTATTTAAAAAAAATTAAAACAATAATAATTATTACACAATATCAATTTTTACATAAGTGAAATTAAAATTATTTATATCACTCAAATACGTACAAAATAAAAATAAAGATGAACCACATTAATACAAAAGTTATTTTCTCAATTCCGATACACACCTGACAGTATTGTGGAGATATCCTTCCGCCTTTTGTCATTCATCTCTTCAATGTAAGCTCCAGCGAAACACAAAGTGGAAGGAGATCCATTGCTGCTCGAGTTGTTGTTTGATGCCTGGGGTGTCTGGTCTTTTGCGTACATCTGTCAACAAATGAGTCATTAGATAACCTGCGTTTAGCAAGTGGCTGTTTTAAATTTTTTTAAAGTTGCACCAAACAACGTATTACTAGAAATTCGTGATAAATTGAAAATAAAAAAAATTTGAAAAGCAACAAACACCATTTTTTGAGAACTGTTTGAATGTACAGATTCAACACTTTTATGTCATGCTTTTATGTGGTGATTGGTACTGATGCTATGGGGATATGATAATAATGGGATGGTGATTTGATACTAATGCGATATTGATATGATAGTCATGTGCTTATGTAATTATCCTTAATTTCTCTTGTAATTTGCAGAATTTATAGAGTGTTTAAGGATAAACTGGAATCGTCTCTCCTGTCGAGAATTCCTTAATTAATGAAATTAATGTTAATAAGTACGCTTTTAAAATGTCTTGTCTCTCTATTTCAAGCTTCCATTTACCTTGTTCGACTGTACCTTAGCCAGTCTCTCCAGCTCAGGTGTCACAAAGTCCCGCTCAATCGTCAATGACAGCTTCTTACATTTTCTGTATCCCACAGGGTCTTTGGGTAGTAGATGTATGTACGGAATGAACGTGGTCATAACGGCCATGTTTAGACAACTGTTAGCAAAATAAGTGATGTCCAATTAAACCTTTACTTAAATCAAGTAAAAAATGCAATACAAAGAAAGAGCAACATGAACAATTTTTAATGAGATATCCTGCCTCACGCCCCAGACGTCTTGTTACACGTCCAAGACGTCTTGCTACACACCCCAGACGACTTGCAACACGTCCATAGAAATATCCTGCTACACGCCCTACAATGCTTGCTAGATGCCCCAAGACGTCTTGCTACACGCCCACCAGAGACATCCTGCCACAGTCCCCCCCCCCTCATACGCCATGCTAGATGCCCCCATGACCGGATGTCTCAGCTCAACTTTGAGCATGCGCCAGCTGTGCAATAGTCGTGCTCTCTAAATGAATACTAAATGAATATAGTAATATCGTGTAGCGTCACGCTGATGGCTCTATGTGGATGTTGACATAACCTTAAACATTGTTTTCTAATGAAATAAAATTATAAACTGTTTATTTTACCGTTTGTTTTTCTCTCTTGAAGTTATAGTTTATTGTAGTTTCCAATTTATTTATTTAGGCATTTTTAAATAGCTCTAACCTTAAGTCTCTAAGCGCTTTACAATTATTAAAACATGTAAACTAAGTAAAATAAAAATGAGACATTAGGATAGTAACTACTATACTATAGAAACAATTAAAATGGCTATAAAACGAGGACACTTTGGCACGTTTTGGCCTATACTACAGGAACAGAAAATGAGGCAGGGCAAGGAGGGTGCATCACAGGTCATAGGCGCACCTAAACAAATGGGTTTTAAGGGACTTTTTGAAAGTGGACGAAGTTTCACAATGACGGATATGGAAGGGGAGCTGGTTCCAGAACATGGAAGAGCGTAGTTGTCTTGTGGGGATGTAAGGAAGCAACAGTTCAGAGAGATAGACAGGAAAGTGAGGGTCAGTGAACGAGTTGAAGCATAGATTGGCAGACTTGTACTTGATGATTAAATTATTAAGCAGACGAGCCCATCCTAGAAAAATTTGCAAGCTTTTGTCACTTAGTTTTAAAAAAAAGAAGACAAACATATGAAACAAAATTAGTGTGTGTTTATGCAATTTAAACTTTTAGGAATTATTTCTATTGAGGGGACATCAAACATATTTCTTACAACATAATTTTATAAGTTTAATTAATTATTTATTTTTTTGCGAAAGGTGAACCAATAATTCAAACAATCAAGGAAGGTTCTGGAAGGGACTGATTATGACTTCATGGTACGATAGTTGAAGCCAGGCGTGGACACACGTGACATCCAGCCACAAAAGTTATAAGTGAGGCTCACGTGACATATTATAACATGAGTTTTTTTTTTAAAATAAATCCTCAAGTGTCTCAGCGTAGTCTTTTTCTGGAGTGCTCATACTTAATAGTGAACAAATTGTGTTAGTAGGGAAACAGTTCACTCAGCAGTTCTCACTTTGCAGCCATACGTTTTTTTTTTGGTTCCCACACTCGTTCGTTTAATCGCCTTGTACTCACATACAAATATGTTAAATAGAGTGACGTCACTAGGGAGTTTTGGGGATGCGGGCCGCACCTGGTGGCAACATCAAAGGGGAGGAGGGGGTGACACCCAAGGTTGCATACTCAAGAAAAATAAATTACCGGACAAATATTCTAAATGTGCGCAATTGTTACGGACAATGAAAATGTTGAACTTTTATTGCTAAATTTTCTGACGGTTGGTAACTCTAATGACAACCAATTTGTAAAATTGTAAATTTGCGAGAGCTCGCTCACGTCGGACTCATTTCATATCTAATTTAATTACAAGAAGAGTATGCCATACGATCGAGAGCCAGCAGAATCGAGTACCTTAAGAAAAACAGGTTGCCACTAGAGCAGGGTTCCGTCATAACGTTTGGTACGGTTTTCGCTTTGCCTTAAGTTAAGTCATATGAGTTAGTGGCGCTCTAATTTAGGAGTCAGCTAATGAGTGTAAGGGAGGTTTAATCATTGTTTAATCTCTTTGCTGTCACAAGAGTCGCTGCCAGAAACTCATGGCGTCACAAGAGTCGCTGCCAGAAACTCATGGCGTCACAGCACCACGACTTCCTGTTGAACCTTCTCTGTTGATATTTATATTTAAAAGCAAAGTACTTTTGACGCAATTTTTTCTAACGCTGTTTCCTCAAATTCAATATACTCAACTTGTCTTACGAACAATGCTATTGGAGATTCTGTATAATGTGGTTAAGACTTGCACAGAGCAGGGGGGAAGGGGGAGGTTTTTGAAATAAGAATGGAAGGCTATGTGAGGAGTTACGCCATGCGATTACCGCACCGGTTGACACAAACTCTAAAGACGCCTCTGATTAAATATGTAAGAGATGTAAATGTGTAATCTCTTTCAGTAATTTAATGTTGACCATTTCTTGTTTCAACATTTAACTATTAAATAAAAGTACGTAGACATATGTGTGTGCGCGAGCGTGTGTGTGTGTGTTTGTGTGTGTGTGGGTGTGTCAAGTGTTTCAAATATTATGATAGCATTGTTTTTTTTTTGTTTTTTTTTAAATCTAAGATATTTACCCCAAAAACTGCTCAATCATTTCCGTGTAGGACAACAGTAGGTCCGAATTTAGATCCAGTTGACGTCCATATGCCATGGCGAAGGATATTGAGCAAACGGACCTCTTCAACACAGGTGCAACATCGACTTGTCCACCCTCCCCCTTCTGTATCAGACAGTTGAAGTTGTCAGCCAAATTGTTCAAAGCAGTCTCCATGTAGCGCTCCAAGAGTCCACCAGCTGCGGTCAGCTTGCGTAACGTCTTCACAATATTTTGCTTCTGCTCCGTCCAGACATGTCCACTTGTGTTTAACAAACCTAGGGGAGGAAAATGATTGTTTGGGTTCATTAACACTGTTTGTATTACAACATGGCACATTGAAAAAGTCAGGCACGTTAAAAAGAATTATTTTAACATCGCCCAATACCATGTACAGAATCGACTACAGATAATGATTGCAGAGCTGCATACAAAAATATACTAGTAATATGCCCCTTGATAGTATCGTTCAACATTATGCATTTCATCAAGTTAGAATTTCTTAAACACATGGTGCTACAAAAGAATTCAAAATACAATAAGTTCACTGTAACTGTTATGACACAAAGTTTGTTTTAGCCAGATTTTGACACTACAGGCTCTACATAAAGGTTATTTAATGAGCACATATTTTGACCCTTCTAGAAACTAAATAAAGGTTATGATTATGAGTGCACATTTTGAAACTTCAAGTTCTACATTAGGTTACGTTAATAAGCGCACATTTGACACGTATAGATTGTACATAAGGCTATGTTGGTGAGCGCATATTTTGACACTTCTAGATTCTGCATTTTAAGTTGTGTTGATGAGCGCACATTTTGACACTTCTAGATTCTACATTAAGTTATGTTGATGAGCAAGAGTAGGAGAAACAGAAGGTTGGTTTTAAACACGTTACGTACAGAAACAATTTATATCTGCTCAACAAATTTATAAACAGAAATGTTTTAAAAAATTCTCTAATCAATTTACCTTTATGGTCCGCCAACCTGTCGGCAATAAATGTTTGGGGGCGTTGCGCGAATTCAGCCCCCCTGACATGTAGTACTTCATGAACCACGTCATATCCATTGATGAACACAACTGGCATGGTCCCCATGTAGACCTTGAACACATCGCCATATTGTTTTCTCAACACCCGGAGTTGGTCCACCGGATCCTTGGCAAATCTCAGAAGATGTCCAATACCTTCAAAGGTAAGTATTTATAGTAAGTTAAGCATTTCTAAAAAGCATTACAAAGGAATAGCTCGTCTTTGCTGTCCATGAAGCACAAAACAATTCGTAGGTAAGGACTCTTAACAATATTTTCACCAAGTATTCTATAAGCATATTTTATATAATTTCTTGCTTATTAATTTCTGCCTGGTGGTCACTGAGTATCACGGTAGCAGAATCCAAAGACTTTCCAACATCCATAAAATATAGGAGCCAAAATGATCAATAAATTGATTGTGGGCCCTTAAGATTTAGAAGAAGAAGAAATCGTTTTCATTAAAACAAAAATATTAAAGATTTCTTTATATTAAGCATTTTTTTTTTCTTAAAAATTCTATGTTTTTTTTTTTT